TATGATTTAATATTTTTATTATCACAGGAAATAACATATTTCCTGAAACCACAAAACGATACTGTTTTGGGATTTGAAAAAAAATATAGAGCATTTTATAGTAAAATTTATAGCTCAAGAGAGAAATAAAATTATTAAAATATCGTATATTTTTTTCTCAAATCCAAAATGATGTAATTTTCCCTAAAAACCTTAACCAGAAAATTAATTTATTAGCCAAATCAAGAACTTGGCCCATGCATGATTTTCCACCTGAATGAAGTTATACAGCTTGTATTGTTTTATTTGGAAGCTAGTTTGAAATGCAGTTTTGCTTGTATTGGATTCTCTGCTTTATGATGGTCGCTTTCTACTTTGCCTTAGAGTAACGGGTGAAGAAATAAAAGTCATAGTGTCCTATTCTTCCACTTAATTCAGAGATTGGTGACTTAGGATTCCTTCACTCAAAATAGAAGCAAGTTCAGATTTGGTGAGCTTCCAACTCTGGGATAGCTGTCCTCTAATTTTATCAACTATAACTACCATGATATCTAGATCAGGACACCTAGTGCTTAATCGATTCTTACGTGATATCATAAATTTAAGATAATGACTTTTATTTGTTTTAATTTGTTGAATAATAAAAAGTAACACAACTGCAAAAAGAAATTAAAGTGCATGGTTTTCATCATAAACTATAGGTTAACTTTTTGGTTCATATAAAAGAAAAATATTTAACTAAGGGGAATGATCTGTTTACATTTTTTTTTTTACAAATTACACTAAGTATGACTGGTCATACACTCTTGATTCAAGTATGACCGGTCATATTTAGTGTAGTTTGTAAGAGTTTGTAAACAAAAAGTTTATAAATATAACCTTCTCCTTTAACTAATATTTTATATTAATTAATTATATTTCTAAGCCTATACATTTAAATGTCCATATCTGAATTCGGCCAAAAAACAAATTTAAATGAAACTAGTTATACTTAATTATATGTGATTGTGACTAGTTGTGAAATTAGGTGTTTAAATGTAAGTTACATAATATAACAAAATAAATCAAGGAACATGAACTATTAAACTAATTTTTTAAAGTTTTCAGATTTAGTGGCTAATTAATTAGTCATCTAAGATTTATGCAGTTGTTGGTAATGATACAACTTGCATTGAAAAGAGAGCACGGGCATAGTTTTAAGCAAATAACTGTGGGGAGCAGAAAGATTTTCACACTCATGAAGCATCATTGCAATTCGTGCTTGCGGCTTATGATTTTGCCTCCATTATCACATATCATGTTCCAGGTCTCACCAACATTCCCTTGGTCCTTCTATCTATATTTTGATTGGTTTGCTATATGTGTTGCAAATAGATATGAATTTGGCCACCATTTACGCATTTTATTAATTTGGCACACAAAATTTTATGGAAAAGCTAGAATGCTCGAGCTTAATGCAGTTTTATAAAACATATATGGGAAAAGTGTGGATCATTTTAAAGGATGTAAAGTTGTGTCATTTTAAGTAAGAGAAAGAGATAGATAAAGGAGAAGAGAGAGGGACAAAAAAATATAAAAGTGTGGGTCCACCTATTTGTGAGAGTGAAAGGATATAAGTTGTGTCATTTAAAAGGACAAACACTTTTCCCAACATATATGGTGGTGGGTTTCATTATTGAATAATAACTATGTTTGCCTACACTGCATTTTAATTGATGCAATTTAGGCTTGCTCTAGCACGATTCAGATTTTATAGTATCTTTTAACAAAATTTATAATTAGAAGCATCTTTTAAGAAAAAGAAAAAGAAAACTCTATAAAATTTCTTTATAGGATATATAAATTTTCAATTGAAATGGCCAAATGGGTTTTAATTTTGTAAATTTTTAAGAAGAAAGAGAACAATTATTCCCAACAACAAGAAGTCACTTTCAGTTTCTATCGTTTTCCTTTTCTTCTTTTCCAAGAAACTTATAGGAATCACAATATACTATATGACAGTACAAGTACCTTTAAAGCTGAATAGATAAAGTTAGTAATTTAAGTAACGAAGTGTTAATTTCAAATTACTTTGTGTAGGTTTTAACAATATTTTTATTATAAATTGGTAATATACGCTGGGTTTATTTATATCTGTATATTATTGTTGGGATTTATTCATAGAGATTATAATAAAAAAAAATGAAGTGGAAGAAAAGGAGATTTAATATAGAGAAATAAATATAAAAAAGGTAAAAGAGAGAAAAGAGAAAATAAATAAATAAAAGTACAATTTGCATCTTTGGAAATTTTTTTGACTTGATTGTCAAGTATTGTCAATATATATAGTATTACCAGAAAGAGACTAATTTGAAAGTATACACGAGTCTCACAATTTCTGCTCGTAACAGAAAAAGAGGAGAAAAGTCTTCTATGTTAAGAAGGGACTGTCAGTTCTTTAATTCCCAATAAGCTATCGCAGATTATATGACAACGGTGTAATTGATTCAAGGAATCTATGAGCGTTTGACAGAGAAGATATATTTTTTTACCAGAATTTTTTTTTTTTTTTTTTAAACTATCGTGGGAATGGTCTGATTTTTACAGGTCGGTCAAATGACCGGTTCACCGAGTTCCAGGTCGATCCAGCTGGCCCGGTCTGATTTTTACAACATTGATTTAGACTATAGCCCAGCTTATTCTCTAGAAAAAAAAGACTATACCCTAGTTTGATCTAGCCCATTTACACCCTTATTTATAACATCTAATTTTTTAATATTCCTTAACTATTGAATATCTAGGCTGCATTTGCTAAAATTATATATATATATATATATATATATATATATATATATATATATATATATATATAGGGATAGAATCCTTTGATATTGATTTTAAACTTTTTAATTTGACAACAAATCTTAATCGTTGATTTTCGTCAATCAACAATTATAATTTATTATGAATTACTAATTATTAAATAAATATGACCCAATAAATTATAACTATTGCTTGCCGCCAATCAACGGTTAAGATTTGGTGTCAAAGAATTCTACCCCATATATATATGGACAAGATTATTTACCGATTTCAACTTTTTTTTGTTTGACATCAAATCCTAACCGTTGATTATTGTAATCTGACAATTATAATTTATTGAAAATTATTAACTAATTAATAAGTGACCCAATAATTTATAACCATTAGATTCACGAAAATCAAATGTTAAGATTTAGTGCCAAAGATCTTGCCCCATATATATATATATAATCTAATTGTATTTATTCCATCCATTTTGTTTTAATGTAAAATGAGTTTAATTATTTCTATATTTTAATAAGAGAGTTTGCACTACAAGAATATTAAATTTATGGGTTTTATTAATGTTATGTGACATAATATAAGCGTAGTTTCCAACTCACATAATGACGAAGAGAGAAAGTGAAATGATGAAAGAGAAAGAAAAACATGTGGACCCCACTTCTTTAATATGTGCGTAGGAAAGTGAAGTTATGTTATGTAAAATAATAAACATAAAACCCTAAATTTATAGCTTGACGGGGGGTTTCTACCCTCTACCTGTAGTTTCTGGTTTTCTTTTGTTTCGTTGTATTTGCAAAAAAGTAAAATAAAATAAAAAAAGCTAGCTTTGTCGAACTTGTTTAAATTTATAAACAAATTTTTTATCTTATATTATTTAGCGAAACGTAGGAAAAAAGGAAGCTGCATTGTTCTCTTCAATGTACAAATCATCATAATGAGGGGAAAAATTTCAATTGATTCAAATGTGTATTTTTGTCGATCTTCACTAATTGATATACAGAAAAAGACATAAGATAGCATTGAAATAAGAGTATTATAATAATGATGGGGGCATGATGGCATTGTCCACCACGCATGCTTTTACAAGAGCATGTCTGGTTTGGAGTTTATATAGGATTCGAAATCCGTTTCTTGGAACGTAGTGTTCATGTTGTCCACTATCTTATGTCGCTTCCTAATTGTTTCAGTCAGAAAAGGAACAACTCAAATTTATAATAATGCAAGTTCGGTTTTGTTTCTTTTTATCTTTTACATGTTTCATATCCTTTTCTTTAAGGTTAACCTATCTTAGCTTGTTGACTTTTTGCTTCCCTTTCTTAGAAGATCTTGGTCACGAATATTTTTTTGGAGTGTCACGGAAATTTTTTTTTATCCCAGGTCCATGTGTTCGTTCCATTCAAGGGGAGACAATTGGATAAAAATTTATTTTTCATTTCTCATCTCTCCTTTTTCTTTAATAGTTGTCTGATTTTAATTTGTCCGAATCGCTGATCGAGTTTATGGTGATCCACGTTGGGTCAAGTTGGACCCTCAAATCGATTGCAGAAGTGAAATAGTAAAATACAAGATAAGAGAGATAGAGAAGAATATATGCAATCACTACTAAAAAAATTGGTATTAGGGACGGACAAATTTCGTCCCTAAAAGCCATAAATCCGTCCCTAAATAATTTAGGGACGGAATTTGAGACGGAACAATTTTTGTCCCTGAATCGCTCCTCGCTAATGTTTTGGGATGGAACTTTCGTTCCGTCCCTAATAAAATCCGTCTCTGACATGTGTTTTTCGTCCCTAATGTTGTCAACAATTAAGAGTTGTAAAAGGTAGGAATCTGTCCTTAGTAGGGACGAACTTAGGGAGGGACGAATTTTTATCCGTCCCTATTAGGGACAGATTTTGTCCGTTCCTATTAGGGACGAAATTTTTGTCTGTCCTTATTAGGGACGGATTTTATCCACCCCTAATCTTATCCCTACTTTCAAAATATTAGAGACAGAATTTTTCCGTCCCTAATTCAATCCCTAATTTCAAAATATATTTAATAAAAAATTTCGAATTTTTGTTAACAAAATTTATACCTGATAATCTTCATAATATAAATCATCAAAGTCATATAACCAATCAAAGTTGATTTGAAACTTATAACAATTATAACCATACAAGCCATCATAGTTATAATCAAATAGCTAAAAAGTCTTAATGATAAAAAGTATCGTAAAAGCAAAAATAACAAATGTATCAAACTACAATATCACTAATAAGTATTGTTCACAAAATGTATTAAAAGATCATAAAATAACTATCAATTATCTTCGTGTAACTCAGCATCATAGACATCATCTTCCGCATCATCACCAACTTGAACCTCATTGTGTGCCTCACGAGCATGAGGTGTAGCAGTGGGCATAGAGATATGAGCCATCAAAATCTTCAGTTGCTCTTTCATAACAGCCATCTATGTCTGCAATTCTTGATTTTGGGTGGAAATGGTTGTCACTAGCTTTCTCATACGATTATACTCATTTGCAGAGACTCTTTGAGATGAACTAGCAGACTTTTGTGAAGCCTTGTATTTACTTGCCTCTACACCCAAACCAAAAATGCGGCTCTTTTTGCTCATACCTCCAACAGTCTGCAGGAATAATTCATTATCAGATTGGTCGGTGGATGCATCATTTTCAATCACCATGTCACGTTCATTCCTCCGCTCAAAGAATTTATCCTGAAAATAAACAAATTACACTAGTCATCAATACATGTGTCAATTCTATAAACACATAGATATTTCAAAAAGGGTGTTCCAATAAAAGGTAGCAACATACCTATAGCTTTCTGCCAACATAGCTATGCAGATTACCAAGTAATATCATGCATTAAACCAAAAATTACAAATGAACGTATTTAGGTTGCTTTCAAGGTAGCAACTAAACGAACATAATCAAGTTATCAACATCACTTAATGAACCTTACAAAGATTACAAGTCAGAAAATAAATTTGCTTTATAAGGCAAAATTTAATCATATCATAATTTTAAGTAGACACACATTTAATATTATTATCAAGTATACTAAAGGTGACTAAAGTCAACAATGTCCATAACTTTATAGGTAATGGAAAGAAAATCACAGCAACTTCCTTTGATCTCTGGGAAGTCCATGTACCGTCCTTTTTAAATATTTGCATCTTCTCATATAGCAATCAATCTACTGAATTTGGATCTATTGCAGGGTCTTGCATCTACAATACAAAAATTCAGTCAATCAAACATAACAGAAACATTGAATAATTATTTATAATTATTGAAACTTATAATTTAAATTAGTTACCAATCTTTTTGTGCTCGGTAAATGGAATGGAGCCTCCAACATGTGAAGCTCCTTCAAAACAAGCTCTATTTTGCTTGTTTTTTTTAGACTTTATTTGCCATTCATCTGAAGACCATATTTCTTTCATGTTAGCCAAAGCGTCATCCTCAATCCATGTGTGTTTCTCTTGCCCATTTCGAATCCTATTCAAGTGATGTGACAACAAAGTTGATGCTTTGGAATCAAAAGTTTTCTTCATCATATTCTTATCATGTGGAAGACATTTGTAATTTTGCTGAATTTATAAATCATACAACAATAATGCAATGTTTTGGATTAATAAAAAATTCAACCACCATTTAAAAAATATAGAAAGGAAAAAATAAACAATGTGTACATACCCGAAATTCTTTATACCACAGCTCATGCATACCCTCAGAATAATTCCCATATGATTCACAAGATTGGTCAAAGTTACGCATTATGATTGACATTATCTCACGGTTCACATACGAAGGCTCAAACATGTGAAAAAGTTTGAAGCAAGGTTCAAAACGAACCTCCCAACAAAAAATAAATAAACTACTACTAATAAAAAACTAATAATCCAACATGAATGTCTTTAACCGTGACATGGTCACAGATTGACACGTTTGAAGCAAGACTAACCTACCCTGACAATTGGAATCCCAATTCCATCCTACAAGGTCATTCAATAAACAGTACAAGATCAGGAAAAAGGCTTGGGGAGCGAACGAGAAAGATTGGCTTGGTCCTCGTTCAGTCTATTAAGTCCTCTTAAAAAAAGAGGTTTTCAAAAAAAATCAAGAGGAAAGCTTTCAAATCAATAAACACACAATAGTTCTCCAGCGTTCATAACCCCAACAACACACACCAATTCAAAAACAAAATAGTGAATAATAATTACCTGTAGAAGGAGAACGGTGAAAGGATATAAAGAGGAAAGCTTTCAGATCAATAATGAACAACCAAAGGGACAAGAGGAACAGGTACCTAATCTATGAAAAACGAAGGAGTTTGTGACAAAAAAATTAATAACAGGAAATAGGGTTAGAGAATATGAAATTAGCAAGCAGCTTCTGAAGAAAGAAGAAGAAGATTACATGTAACTTCCACAGTCTGGTTGGTCATCATGTTCTCCGGCGAATATGAAATTACGGAGCAGCTTGTGATGAGAGGTTTTTCGGGTGAAGTGAAATGGTGAAACGTGAATGGTTAAATGTGAAAGTGAAAACGCCGTAATGATTTTTTGGGGGAAAGGAAAATTAATGGATGGATGATGAAAAAATAACATTACCATTGAGTATATATATATATAGGGAAAAATGTTTCTGCCTGCAGATAACTTATCTGCATTTTTTCCAAAACGACGTCGTTTTGGTATTAAAATTTTAAAAAATTATAAATATAAAGACTATTATAACCCTGAAATAAATTAAAATTACAAAAACACCATGATTTCCGCCTCAAAACGACGTCGTATTGGGCTTACTGCAGATAACTTATCTGCAGTAACGGCAGAAAAAGCGAACCCATATATATATTCGTTCAAAATAAGGAAATTTACTAAAAGAGCGTAGTGGTTAAGATTAGTGTAGAGGTGAATTGAACAAGGGTTCAAATCTTGTGTTATGTTATTTTGTAATATTTCAAATTTAATTTTTTTTATTCATAATGTTGATGTAAATTATTATATTTACAAAGGGTTTAAAGTTATTTTAGATAACTTTATCCAATATTCACCAAAATACACATAAAAAAGTGTTTGGCCTCCATAAGTATTTTTAAATTTTATTTCTAAATAATATTTAAACATGCCATTTTATTTTACAAAATAATATTTAGAAGCTATTTCGATCATAAATGTGCCTAGATGATACAAAGACAGGTTCCTCATTAGATCAAGTGAAATTCATCGGGAATAATTGTGTCAAATTAGGAGAAAATAGGTGATTTAGTCTAATTTTTGACAGAGATCAAAAAAGTATAGAAGAATAAATGATTCTAAGGGAAACACATATGAGAAAATTTTAAGTTGCCCCTTTAAAATTATAATGTTGATTTCTTATCGGTTTGAATTTTAACTATTGAATAATAACTTTTGATGAAAAATTATAACTAAAGCTTCACAAAATTTTATTATTTCAATATTAAAAAATATTTGGCCGTTTCTAAATGCTAAACCTCAAATACATAATTCATTAAAAATTAAAAAATCAATTAATTTGCAAAAAAAAAAATATATAACTGAAAAAGATAATTTACAACTGGATAAAAATTGAGATAGAATTCCAAATACGATATTTTATTAATTCTATTGTTAAATAATAGATGGATTGTTAAAGAAAAAAATGATTAAGAAAATATCGTCGATCTCTTATTAAATTTTCAAGTATATGAGCTTATGCTTATCCATTGAATCTGTATGACCCTACATGAAAACTTATAAAAGAGAAATACATAAAAATATTTCACAATGAGTCATCCTCTATTTGTGAAAGATATATATATATATATATATATATATATATATATATATATATATATATATATATATATATATATATATATATATATATATATCCGAGTCATACCCAATAATTAATGTATAAATCGATAGACAAAGATAAACAAGGACGTTCTTTGTCCAGTCTTGCGAATTGTTAAATTTATTCATGGAGCAAGTGCCAACATGTAGCCCCCCAATAAATATACCCACGAGGGATCTAATAAGAAAATAATCTCTGGTTACTTGGTGTTCAAAACCATATATACCAATATGTAGCTATGGGAACAGATCACTTAGGGCTCAATATGATGCAAATACAACAAATGATGGTTTTATATACAAGTTTACGGATGTTATATATGCGGAGTGTGAGATATCGAGAGCCATGGTTAACATTGCTTTTCTTAGCCAATTAACTCAAATTTTTCATACTTTAGTCTTGATTTGAGAGTTAATTAATTTGAGATTTGTAACGCCTGACCCAGAATTACTACAAGTCAAGCACGTTTAACTATGGAGTTCTTCTATTTTGGACTATAAAAAAGTAGATGCATCTTGTTAGTATAGGTAGTACCAATTAATTCTTATAAGCTATCCTCAACTGTACTGTTCTATACCAACAAGTCTCTGGAATCCCTATCTTTCGGGTGTTGATTTGATTTATTCATGTACCCCATCGCTGGAAGCCTACCAGGAGCCGCTCCTTGTCTGTGCCTTTGCGCACCAATGATAACTCCCCGCCCTTGTCAGAGCCCGGGATGTTACATGCCCACCAGCTTCAGCTTGGTTCGTCCTCGAATCACACCGTACTGAAAGAGAGGCCTGCTCTGATACCACTTGTAACGACTAGCCACTCCAAGCATCAATGACTATCCCCACACACTAACACAAGACTTTTAAGAGTGTTTTGTCCTCACTCGCACACTTCCCGGGAGGTCACCCATCTTTGCATTATTGCAAATGAAGCACGCTTAACTATGGAGTTCTTCCGTCTCGGGCTACTGAAAAGTAGATGCATCTTGTTAGTATAGGTAGTACCAATTAATTCTTATAAGTTATCCTCAACTGTACTGTTCTATACCAGCACAGTCTCTGGATTTCCTCTCTTTCGAGTGTTGATTCGATTCATTCATGTACCCCGCCACTGGAAGCCTGCCAAGAGCCGCTCCTTATCTGTGCCCTTGCGCACCATGCCCTTGAGCACCGGTGATCACTTCTGGCCCTCGTCTGCGCCCGGGATGTTACAAGATTAGTCTTATAAAATATGATAACCAATGAGTTTATCAATCTTCCCTATTGGCGAGTGATTAAGATTTCATCTCTGAATCCATCCCTATTAGAAATATCTTTTTTAGTCTCTTATCCATACTTTTCTAGTAGTAACAATACAAGAAAATTAGTTTTTAGAGGCAGTTATATTTGCATTTTGAGGCGGTTCAAACCGCCTTTAATTGCTTGGTTCGGCGGTTCATAAACCGCCTCGTTTACCACCGTCGTGAGGAAAAATACGACAGTTTTGAAAAACCGCCGAAATAACCGCCTCTACATGACAATCTGAGGCGATATTCTAACCGCCTCCAAATCATATTCTGATGCGGTTATTTTAACCGCCTCCTAAAGACAATCTGAGGCGGTTATATTAACTGCCTCCAAATAACGTGTAACCGCCTTTAAATAGTTAAAATTATATAAATTTTTAATTTTTAATATTAAAATTGTTATTTTAAAAGTTAATATAATATTTATTTTTAAATTTTTATTTTTAATATAATTTTCAACGTTAATATATATATATATTTTTTAAAAATCATTTTTAAAAGTTAATATAATTTTTATTAGTTGAATATAAATAACTTATTGAATTTTGTATGTGAGTGTGTTAGCGTGAGTTGTTATATAGAAGGGAATGGAAAAGGAGAAACAAATGCTATCTAATGTGGGACTTCAAAGTGAAGGTTATAAAACTGCCTCTATTTACCGCCTCTATTTACCATTCAGAGACGGTTATAATAAAACTGCCTTTAATTGCTACATTTAGAGGCGCTTATATCTCAACCGCCACTAAATGGTCAATGGGGGGCGATTATTTTAACTGCGTCTAAGATGCATTTGGAGGGGGTTATGGTATAACCGCCTCTAAAAATAGCAATTAGAGGTGATTTTAATGTAACCGCCTCTGAATGGTAAATAGAGGCGGTTATTTTAACCGCCTCTAATACACATTTGGAGGCAGTTTCGTGTGAACCGCCACGAATCAAATAAACCGCCGAAAATATTGCCTCTATGTATCAATTGGAGGCGGTTTAAGTGAAACCGCCTCAGTTAAACAGCCTCCAAATACCAGTTTGCTTGTATAATAGCGAGTTAGATTAACCACCCTTCATATATTTCTCCCTAGATAAATCACGTATTGTTGCTTTTTATAATAGAAATAAGTGCTATGTATGTATATGATGTAGTAATAACACTTAAATACAATTTTAGTCCCTAAAATTTTCCCAATTTGGGACAAATTATTTTTTTGTTTTTCATTCCTATTAAGAACGGAATTTGTTCAGTTTTTCGTCCCTATTAAGGACAAAACGTTTTCTGTCCCTATTAGGGACAAATTTAGGGACAGATTTTAGAAATAACATCCTAATTCTATCCCAAGTTGGGACGAAATATTGTTCGTCCCTATTAGGGATGAAATTAGAGACGAATTATAGAAATTGAAAATTTAGGGACAAAATATTTTTCATCTCAAAATGCGTCCTTATTAGGGACAAAATTTAATTTCGTCCTAAATAGGAACGAATTGTTTTTTCTGTTTCTAAATTCGTCTCAATTAGAGACGAAATATTTTCTATCTCTAAAATCCGTCCCTAATTCATTTTTTTTTAGTAGTGAGTTTGTTTAAACGTGGGAAAATCTCCTCCAATGTCAAGAAGTAAAAACTCACGGGACTCTAGTCTAGAATCAAACTCTTACTATAAGAATAATGAGTTACAATAGTCACATTTCCTTAGTCTTTCACTAGAGGTACAATCCAATAATCAAGCATCACCTACAATGGAGGTATTCTCAAACTTTCCTAGAGAGGTCTCACTCAAACTTCCCTAAAGAGGTCTCACGCAAACTTCTCTCTAGAGGTGGAGGTATTCAGTCAGGTTCTTTCTCTCATGGAAGATTTCTTCACCTCACTTCGTTAATCTCTTCTCTTTCTCTATTTATAGATGGCTAGAAGGGATATCTTCATTGCTCTTGATTCTTCTTCATTTAATGTGAAGAATTTCAATACAACTCTTTATTCTCCCATGAAGTTCTTTTATTTTCCCATTGAAGCCTTTTCACTCTTCCATACATTAGAACTTGTATCTAACTAAGGAGAAATAATCCAACAATCCAGTACCACTAAAATTCTTCTCCTTGGTCACGTCTCAGTGGCGGAGCCACGTATAGGCTAGGTATGGCCTCGGCCCGGGCTCAATTTTAACAAA